GTCCCGTTTCCCTCCCCAGGCGACGGCCGGGTCCGAGCCGTGGCTGGTGGCGCTGGGCGCTTTCCACGTCCTCTGCTTCGTGCTGACCTGCGCCTCCGCGCAGCACTACCGCGTGCAGATCGGGCACTTCCTCGGCATGGGTGAGTGGCGCCCGCGCCTCCCTGCGCACCCCGGCGCCGCCTCGCGTGGTGATTGCCACGTTCCGCGGGTGTTTGCAGGGCCCGGGGGTGCAGTGTGCCTTGCAAAGTGCCTGCAAAGCTCTGCTTCCCGCTTGTCAATGCGTACGCCCACGCGCAATAGCTCGTATTTCATAGAATCATAGAATCATAGAATGCTTAGGGTTGGAAGGGATCTCTAGAGATCATCTAGTCCAACCCCCCTGTACACGCAGGGTCACCTAGAGCACGTGGCACAGGACTGCGTCCAAGCAGGTTTTGAAGATCTCCAGAGAAGGAGACTCCACAACCTCTCTGGGCAGCCTGTTCCAGTGCTCTGTCACCCTCACTGTTAAGAAATTTTTCCTTAAGTTCCTGTGGAACTTTTGGTGCTTCAGTTTCCGGCCATTTCCTCTAGTCCTGTCAGTGGCCACCACTGAAAAGAGGCCAGCACCGTCCTCTGCACTCCCTCCCTTGAGGTACTTATAGACACTGATTAGATCCGCTCTCAGCCTTCTCTTCTCCAGGCTGAACAGGCCCAGCTCCCTCATGTGTACCTGCTTACTTGGTTTCCAAGCATATGTGACTTGCAACTTTGGCCTTGTGATAAATCAGGTAATTTCCCTAGCTGTGTGTCACAGCTTCAAGGAAGAAGTGAGGCTGCCAGTTGTCACTGTGGAGCAGCAGACAAGGACTCCACAAGCTGGCAGTTGCTCTCTGCCTTATTCTGCTGCTGCCCTCGAGGAAATATGGGCAGGTCTTGCCCGGATTCATTCCTGGAACTGACTTATCACCCCGCTAACACCTCTGCTGCTGGGATAAATCGTGGAATCATAGAATAATTATGGTGGGAAAAGACTTTCAAGATCATTGAGTCCAACTCTAAATGACTGCTAAAGGAGGGAGAAGGTGCCCGTTTCTTACCTTGGCAATGGCAGTGCGTGCCCTTACCTTTTTAAAAGTCACATGTTTCTTTTGGAGATTTAACTTTAGGCTTGCAGAATTTTTAATGACAGGCTGTCTCAGTTTACTTTAGATTCTGTCTAAAGTGTACTTAGTGTTACTAACATGGATTTGCCTACCCAAGCACTAACTGCATTGAGAGTGGCAGTGGAACTGATCTTTGATGGCTTTTTAGTACAGGTATGATGTAAATTTCCTGTAAACAACATGAGTGCTTAAAAAAGTCCATATCAAATCACGGCCTTGTATGTCCCTGAAAAACTCAACCACCAGTGATACGTCCACAGTAGAAAATATTTTGTGTTGTACCTTGACAGATGAGCAGCAATAAGTATGTTTATATTGTGCAGTACCATGCAAAGACTTGTACAGATGGTAATGTAGGAAGGAACTGCATGAATACTTATTTATAGTTCTGGTGAAGGTACTCTTAATGTTTAATACCCTACCTTTAGATAGAAATGCTGGATATAAAACCTAAAGATTCTAAATTTATATCTAAATTTTGTACCAATCTGGGAGGACTAATGACTTTATTTTACAGATTTATCTTAGAAGCAATCATCAACAATATTGTTGGAAAAAATACTGATTTTATATATATATATATATGCATATGTATATATTCATGGCTATACTGAACTCCTCTATAAGCTCCGATGAGCAGGATTTTTTTGTCTGTAATATTGTAAGTATGTTTTCTGATTGCTTAATGTTTCTCAGTATCTGTATGGGACACTTCAAACATTCAGAGCTGGTTTTATACAGTTAAATATTAAATAGGTAGTAGTCTTCAGAGGATCATGGAATTTTAATGTAGAGTACATATGCGTCTTAGAACTGATAACTTGCTCTTTATTTTTAAAGAAGTATTGAATCTAATAATATTTGTCTTTTGTTATACAGTGGGTTTGGTGTACTGCGCTGAATATATAAATGAATTAGCAGCCATGAATTGGAGGTAAGTGTTTCAGTTTCACATTTAAATGTGATTTAATTTTTTTCATCATATCATCCCCACAAGAGGCATTAATTGAGAGTCACTCATGTCTCATCAACAGAATCTGAAGGTGGAGAATCTATTGCACTGATTGATAAAACCCTTTTGGACAAAACCATGCAATGCAATGTAGTTAAAACTTAGATTGTAGGAAAGAGTAATTTTTCTAACCATTAACATGTTGCCTTAAAATCGAACTTTGTTTGTTTTTTCTTTCAGACTATTTTCCAAATATCAATACTTCGATTCAGGAGGAATGTTTATTTCACTGGTCTTTTCAGCACCACTGCTGGTGAATACTATCATAATTGTGGTATGTGGATTTTTAACTGGATACTTCCTTCATGGAATTGATGTAAAAGTGAGTGTGTTTATATACACATTAAAAATGAGTTGAATGTGGTAACATTCCTACTTTTCAGGTCACCTGGATTTACAAAACTTTGAATGTAATGACTGAACTGAAGACACTACAGCAGAGAATTAAAGCCAAGAAAGAGAAGAAGAAGTGAAAGGGTTGATATTTTTTATTATTATTGTTTGTAATTATCTTGTGATAATACTGTTTCATTTAATCAGTCCTTCTTGTATGTTTATCCAAGAACAGCAATGTTTTTTGTGTCTGATATTAAGAGCCTTTGCACCTTTTGGCTATGGGCAGTGAGGTGAAAGCAGATGCTCCCAATACATCTGAACTTTGCTGTGAAATACAGAGAGGCTGGTATTAACATTTTTTTTTTCCCTGTAGTGGGCAGACACTGGCCAACACGATGAACACAAGCTTCCAGTCAATATTCATCCACCTGTGTATTTTTTAATGGTGTTGAATATGTATTTATTAAGTATATAGGCTTCTACTTATGCCAATTGAAGCTATGTTGTGGATTCTAGTAAATGAGGGCTAATATTTAGAACACCTGAAGAATCCATGCTTGTACGAAACATTTCACTTTGTACATCAGGTTTCATATTTTATGTATGTCTTGTGAGGCAGTGAACAATTTTGATACAGAACCATTTTATAAATAAAATTATCCATTATGTCTTGAATACAGATTGTTGGATTTGAGTTGATATTTCTATTTTTTTTGTGGTTTTTTGTTTGTTTTTCTATCATAATACCTTTTTGTCTGGGATCCATTTCTTTAACTTTCCCATGAGTTACGGGGACTCCTTCACTCAGCACAGCTTTCCTCATTCGTTTCTCTATCAATCCTGTTTAGGCTGCTTATATATTAGCATGTAAATAAATATATGCAGTGTTTGGACACTCCTGTAATACGCCATTCTGTTAAAAATCCTACTGCCATTTTTCATAGTGTCAAGTGTCACTTCTCATTGATAATGTCTGCAGTAGTTTGGTGGATACTGTGTGCCGAAAAGCCACTGCTTTGGAGAACAGCAAAAAGAATCAGAAAAGAATTTAGCCGAATGGATGCAAGATAACCTATACAATTGTCTTCAGAACCAAAGAGCATAGATGTAGTTCTCCCATCTTGGTTTGGGAAAATTCAGCTTTGGGCTTTATAGTTTGAAGGGGCAAGATCAGTATCAAGAAAAACTAGAGTTTTTCTTATGAGGACCTAAGAATGAGCCCACAAATGTTTCCCAGAGTTCACAAGATAAAGGTCATGAGCAGAACTATATCAGGTAATCATAGAATGGTTAAGGTTGGAAGGGACCTCTAGAGGTCATCTGTCCAACCCCCCTGCACACGCAGGGTCACCTAGAGCACGTGGCACAGGACTGCATCCAAGCGGGTTTGGAAGATCTCCAGAGAAGGAGACTCTACAACCTCTCTGGGCAACCTGTTCCAGTGCTCTGTGACTCTCACTGTAATGAGCAGAAAAATATCAATGTATAAATCATTTTAATATTATACACATTTCAAGTTGCAATCCTTGCCTAGTACTGAGATTTCACCTAAGAATAGCCTTTGGTTTCATTGCACATTGCACGTATGAATTTGATTCACAGTAAGTTTAGAGCAGCATGTTCACTAAGAGCAAATGTCTCACAATCAAAAAATCTGCTATATTTAGTACATCTGAGGCAACCTTTCTTTAACTTTCAGTATGGAAGCCATTACCTTATGTGTGAGGTTGGAAAAATGAAAGTTCCTCATCTGTACCTGAACCTGAAGAGATGCCACAATCAGAATTCTCGTAAGATAGGCAAGATAACAGAAGTGTCTTTCTGTATTGCCCAAGTGTTGCTTGGTCCTAGATTTATTAACAGAAACAAGTCTCCATAGCTTTGAGGATCCCAGGTCAAATAAAAAATCTTGTGCTTGCCCAAGTTCATTTTCTTCTTCCTCTTAGTATAATTGACTTTTCAGGAAGTATTTTTTGTGTTGCATTAACAGATGAATTTTGTTCTTTTAATACAGGCTTTAATACACCACAGTCACCACAAAAAAAGTGAACCCTTATGCTTGAGAGTCAAGAATTTTATTTATTTATGTTTAATCATGAATTAAGAATAATTTGTTTTACTTGCGTAGTATCTGATAATTTTGGATGCCAATAATGTGGTAGCTAGCAGATGGATATTAGTTTAGAGAGAATCAACGTGGCAGTGAGGCTTGTTTATTTCCTGAAAGCATTGGGGAGTGAAAGTGTAGGCAGCGCCCAATATAAAATATATAGATATGTATAAATGTGGAGCATCTCAAAATGCACCCTTCAAAATTTTAAGCATTTTTAAACTTTTCCTGATTACGTTAACAATTTATCCTATCTAAATATGTACTCATGGATTTACTCATCGCAAGCAAAAAAAAAGTTATTTTCATATATATGATTGTCAGGAACAAATCCTGTTTTCTACATTTGAAAAGACTTAAACATATATCTCAGTTGGTGATTTGTCCTCCAGGTAAACTTGCTTAGGAAACCAATCTGTTCAGGAGTTAAAGGTTACAAAATAATTGACATGAGTGTCTTTAACTATAAAATAAACCCTCAAAATTAAGTAAAAGCATGTTTTTTGCTTGTTATGTGACTGGATTTATGAAGTGATGCTTCAATAACACAATGTAAGAGCTTAGTTGCTGACGAACCAAAATAATTGCTTCATGAATTTAGAGACTGTTTTACCTACTTAGAATTTTTTATGTATAAGTAAATAAGAGCCAAATGTTTAAGCTGGATAGAATACCTTAGGCAATATTCTAAAACTGGGAGATGTGAATTTTGGTTACTTGTGGAAAAGTCAATATATTCTTTCAGTTCAGAGTAAACATACAAAAAAACCCAACCAAACAAACAAACAAAAAAAGGTAGCTGCTGAATTGGATCCTTTGGTAAATAAGGCTAGACAGAGGTGATTTGCTGCTGCTTCCATGTATCCTGCAGGCAGTGACTCAATATTGTGCCTTCCCTACCAGCCTCCTTTCCACCACACCATGTGTTGTCAGCCAGTGTGGAAAAACATTAAAAGAGAAAAAGCAATATTAACCTGGCAGCTTCCCTCTAACAGTAAGTAGCTCTGTTGGGTGAAAGTCCTCGTGTAAGAAGACGGCCTGGCAGAATTTAGCTGACGTTTGAAATTGGCATCATTCCCTGTAGAGAACATAGGAGTTTCCAAGAAGTAGAATGCAGGAGATTCTGTCTTCTTCCATGTACACTGTAATAGCATATCATTAGGTTGCGTTGTCTTTTCCCCTTATTTTAATGCAGAGGATTTCATTATTTGAGACAAAATGGAACAGATTCAATAAGGAAATTTGAATCTTTTTATTCCTCAGGAATATTTGTTACCTTAGTAAATGCAGTGTTTTCTGGTTAGGTGGGGATATTCACATATCTGCCAAAGTCACAAAAAGATGTTAAATTGAGGTCTTATGTATTCTTATGTGTGTGCTAAGTAATGAACTCTGAAAGACAGTTTTTGTTATTTTCTCTAATTGACTCTTAAAACAATCTGTCTCTTGAAAATTTGCCTTAGATTCTAATTTGCTGTGAGTATGAATCTTCAATTGAGGAGGGCTCTATGGAATGTACTTTTGTGTGTTTGGGGAATAAGCTGAAATCCTGAATTTCCTTATCTTTTTAATATGAAACCGAGATGTCAGGAAAAGGAGTGGTGAGTTTTTGTGTAGTCGGTGTAGATAAGAACTACTGCTATAAAGTCAGGAATGTTTTATTTCTTTAAACATATCTAAACATGTTTACATACTTTAATTATATGCGTTGTTAAAACATAGAGACAAGAGATAATTTTCCACTCTAAATAATAATGTCATTATTGTAAATAATTTACCAAAGTATATTTCTGTTTAGAAAGCTTACATGTTGTGTATATTTGTCTATTTAATTTTTTTTTTTTTTTTTTTTGATTTTCAGCAAAATACAAGTGTATCCCCTTTCCGATACATCAGATCATTGGAGTTAACTGAACTAGCCACTGGAGGTCACTGTTTCATATGCAAAAGCTGACTCAAACGCTTTCTCTAGTAGTCAGTTCTGCAATACTTTTCACCGTAATTTCATAGTTTCTTTGGCATGTTAGGATGATCAGGAAAACTTTGGGCCTTAGCCTTTGAAAGCATGAATCTGAACTGCAAGATAGATCCCTTAGTCACTTGCAAATGTATATTCAAATTCTTCCCCTTTACACTGAAAAGCACTTCTTGTAGTGAAAATGAGCTTCACTACATGTATGAGGTGCCTTGAAGTCAGGATTGTGTTTGAATTTGTGCTTTAAAGCTTCTTATTGAGGCAAGGAAATAAATAACCTCTTTCATTCACACCTGCATTTCACCTGGAGGAGCCTTTTAGTAACCAGCTAGAAACAACTAAAATGAAACCAATTACAATGTTTTGTAAACAATGTGCAGGTTCAGCGCACTGTACCAGTTCTGTTCATGAACAGCCCAAACTTAAGCATATGTCTCATTTCTGTGTGATTTACCCTTTCATAAAGCGTCGTTATCTGTCCTTATGATGTTATAAACGTGTTGCAGTTGCTTACAGCCATCAGTGAGGTTGTCAATGTCCAAAATCACTTCAGTCTCTCTCTGCATCCTGAAAAAACGTTCTCAGCAAAGTTCAGAGGCTTTCTGACTCCCTTTAGGAAGCTGTACATGCAGAGTTCTTCACTTGATGCTCCCCTCTGTATCTTGTGTTTTGAGCCTGTAATCTTACTGCTCCATCTGTTTCTTGTTTATCCTTGGAATCCGTCTGAGCTCTGTTTTCGATCCCCTCTTTGAGGACAAAGACTTGCAGTTTTGAGTTCTCTTCAGTCCCCTTCCTGCAGTTTGCATGCTTGTACATACACAAAACAACTCTCAACAGACCTGGCAGTTTCATCTGCCATGCTTGTGAAATGCCTGCCCCATAACTCAGAACTGATCTGCTCTATAGATGCCTGTTCTGTAGTTTGCTTTTCTCTGGCCAGTTCCTCCCCTTCGTGGCTGTGCTGATGCTACTGTTCTACTGGAACAGTGTTGAACCAAGTAGTCCAATTCAGGACTTAAAAGGAAGGCCTCTAAATTCCCTATGCCTGTGTTTACACATTTAAATATTTCAT